GTTGGGTTTTTTTTTACTTTCCTTTACAAACTCTGTTGCCTCTTGGTTTCTGGAGGTCTGTCTTTCACACAAGGAGAGTAGGGCTTGGCTTCTCAGAGCGGTGCTTGGCAGGCACAGAGGCAGGAAACGCAGAAGGGAATGAGTCTGTCAGACTCATTTTCTTCTAGTTCAAATGTTTATTTCAGATCTGGGAGGAAGTGGAGTGGTTCCTTTCCATTTCCTCGTCTCTGGAACCTGCGAGTTGTATAAGGCTTGGAGAATCTCTCTCACCACACATCATACTCACAAGTTCACAGATGGAGACCCTTCAGAAAACCTCCAGTTAAACAGAGCAGAATTCACAGCTCTCATGCCCTTCTGGGACCATCTCTGATGGGCTTAGGACTGGAGCATTGAGCTAGAAGACTGAAAGCAATTCGGAGAACAGGGCTGGTGGGCTCAGGAACGCCCTATTCCAGCTCCCAAGGGGCAAGGACTGAGAGGAATGTCTCAACTGACATCTGTCTCCAGTCCTGCCACGCGGTACACCTGAGGCGGAGAGGTATGACATCATTTGTGAATGCCCCAGTGTGATCTGGTCCTGAGCCCACTTTCTAGGTTCCTGAGACTTACCGGGTCTGACACCAGGATGGTGTTTCAACAGCAAAACTTAACATATACATGTTTTAGTAGTGAACTGATTTCAACCCATGCTAACTTTTCTAATCCATACTCTGATTTCTCCCCCGCCCTCCCCCCCCCGCCTTTTTTTTTTATAAAGCCAAGCTATTTACCTCACTACACTCACCAGCTCAGCTCTGCAACTTGTTTTATCATCTACGCAATTGACACAGTTCATTTTTAATGCCAAATGGAGACCATCAGAAACCAAACTAGAAAATCTTGTGGTGAGTTTACTACTAAACTCTAACAGATGTGACTGACTCTAACTGTAGGCATCAGGACTGACGCATAATTTTAGGTACAAATTACTTGCTGAGAATATTTATAGACAGAAAACTTCTTCAGCAAAAAAGAAGACCCTAGACATTTAACACAGATTATCTTATAGTTTAGCAACTGATAAAGTAGCCAAACATTGTAAATGCATTAATTACGGTTTGTTTAGGAAAGTTCCCAGGGCAGAGTGCTTGCTCTAATCATGTTGTTTTGCCAAAGAGTTTTAAAAGGTAAAAATCCAACTCAGTACCTTTACTCACAGTATAGATTTTCTAGTTGCATTACTGTTTGATAGCCACTGATTATGTTCCCTCAGATCTATGTGCACAAAGTACACACCTTTAAGTGAACTCTATTTACACGTACGCATCTATATACATTTGCACATCCAATAGTAACAAACTAGTTTTTATATTACAACGACCATGCTCTGGATGAATTCCTAAAACAAATTAACCCTTCCATATGTCAGAATTCCCTCCTGACATGCATTTATTATGATACTCATGAGTCGACAGTATAACAAAGACATATTACATTAGATACAATCACAATATTCAATTTTGAAACCAAAAGTAGTCAAAATATAGATCACATTTTTTTCAAATTTCCTTTGTTGGCCACTAATTAAATAAGGCATGCTAATTGCACGTACAGTAATGAGTCTTTTTAACCAATTAAAAAAACCCAGGATGAAAGGAGGAAGAAGAAAAGGAAAGATAAAGAGTCATTGTAAAGGTCATAATGAGACAAACATTTCTGCTTGAAGATATTGTCACTAAAGTTACACTCTAAGCTAGCTATGCCAAGTCATGTACTTCTCATACACAAAATTATATTGTATCAAATTTAAATTTGTTACAACTGCCATGTACATTAAACCAGTGATAAGGAATATGTAACTCAATATCTGATCTAGTGAAACAGCAACCAATATTAGCTCCCAGCCACATGAAGACAATCTCCAATGCCATTGCTGGTGTCAGCTAAACCTCAGCCAGTTTGTCTTCTCCGGCCGTTTTCAAATAAATCGGTGACTATCTCAATTAGGAAACCTTGAAGGAAGTCTCTAAGAGGAGGTAATTTTGTTGCTCATTCTTGGTGCCCTGCATTGGCTGTACTTAAAATAGACACTTGTACCAATGTCCTTTCTATTACCCGAAGGGGGGAAAAAAAATCACATACACTCCAGTCCTTTTTCTTTCAGCTCGCAGAGAGGCAACTTGATCCAACCAGTGTTGAAACCTGAGTAGGTCACTGTACACCATGATAAAATTCCCTAATCCCTGAGCCAAATCTCCCTAAGGGGGGCCTCCTCCTGATCCTCCACTTCCCAGGCTGACTTTTCCATTCGCTCTCTCCTCTTTCCCCCTTTCATTTCCCCTACCTTCAAGCCTTGATATGTGATCCTTGTGGGGGCTCAAGTTTCCGTTTTTACAGCTTAGGCCGTGCTAGCTGTATACATTCCTTTCTTTCTGCCGGGCAGTGATTACTTACCAGGGCTTAGTTTACACTGGTCCAGATGAAAGCCGTTCAGATGAAGGCAAACACAGCCAGGCAGCTCCAGCGGCACCGATAGGAAGCTGCACAAGGCCACATTGTGTGCTCGGTGACATTTTGTTGCACATATTTTTTATGCAGGGCAACCAACTTGTTATGTTACTCTGCACTTCAGATGGAGGGGTAATAATACCATGACGTTTGGGGATGGGTTTTATTGATGTGGTTATTACTCTTAAAAACGGAAAAAATTTAATGAGCTCAAAATAACCCTTTCACCTTTTGTCTTTGAAAAATCACTTTTAAAATGAGGGCTTTTAGTGCTATTATATTAGAGGAATGCCTACTGAACAATTCCACTAGGAATGGGATTTCATGACTCCCTGGCATGGTGTGCTTTGACAAGACTGAAGATTTCGGCCAGGGGTCTCTAACACATTGTTCCAAACCAGAGAGAAAACACCATGCTACAGGCAACCGAACTATTTGCTGGGTGGAACTTTTCATTTACTGCGACGATGGGTGGAAACAATAAGGATGAAAACTTCAAATAGGAGGTGGTGATTTAAAAGAAAAATAACATTTTCAAAAAAGAAATTCTGTGCACGGAGGTTAATTCCATACTTAGTCCTGCAGCATGGGCTAAAAACTGTGTAATTTTTCCCTTCACACAATGTTGTTTTTGTTTCTTCCTCACCAGTTCAGACAAACATCTGTTATACTGTAGAAGGACAACTATCTCCCAAACCACGGAGTGCACCCGCAGCCAAAGTCAACAACGCGAGCCCCAAGCATCGAGCACAGTCAGCCTTTATATCCAGCCGGGATAACATTTCACATGTTTTGATTAAAATTAGCTAATTTGTAATTCTAGAACCTATGAAACTTAAAAGCTGCCATCCATATAGATCACATTAGGCAGTGTTTTAAAGGGCCAGTGCACACTCATTTCCTGGTTACTTCACCTCTCTCCTCTTCCTCCACCCCCAATTTAAAATGAAATGGGAAAGTAATCTGGAAATGCAAGGAAGGGTAAGTGAGGAAGAATGGTTAGGGTAGATTGTTTGAATTCCAGCCCCTTTGGAGGACAACTCCTACTGGTCTCTCTCTCACACTCACTCTTTCTCTTTTTTAAGCTATGATTGGAATCAATGGTGGTTTCCATCCCAAAGAATGGCCCTGATTTCCAAGGCAAATCTTCCTTAACTCTCTTACTTCCCACAGCTGCACCTCATACTTCCAAGCACTAAGTTCCTCACCCAGAAAATAAGAGCCTCAAGTTCAAAATTTGGATTGTATGGAAATTTCCCTGGGGTGTACATATAGGATATATTATCCATGTGTCCCTCTCTAAGCGTGGGCTTCATACAAGGCACTCTCATAGAATACGTCTGTTCTAAAGAAGAAAACATCAAAATGCGATAAATTCAACTCAGTTGCGTGCCATTTTCATTCGGTTTGTCTTTTAAATACAAACTTAACCAACCTCAGCAAGTCAGTTGGCAGTGTTAAGGAGTCTATGCAGAAGATGGAGACCTAAGACCGCTGCAGGATGAAAACTAAGGTCCCCCCACCCCCCAAATCTGCTACTTGTGTGTAACTCAAAGAAAAATAGGTAAATAAAATAATCTTTTCTAAATCAGGAGAGACTCCTGTAATCACAGAATAAACTCCTCGCCGGGCAAAAGCTGCAACTTCATAGAAAACAAGGGGGGGGGGGCAGGAGGGTCTAGAGCTGCGAGGCGCTCTGGTGCCATCGTTCCAACGGGAACAGCTGGAGCACCAGGCGGCTGCGCTGGCCACCTCTGGAGCACCGCTGGCCTGGCGCGGAGCCCGGCCTCGCCGAGCGGACTCGGGCTGGCCTGTGCGAACAATGGGCAGGGGCTGCGGGGGCCGC